AAGTAAATATTGTGATTACGTGTATTCCTTTTTTGAAAAATTATAAATAAAAGTATTATATTAGGGTCGGATGACGTGTAACCTATGCGAGCGCGTTCTGTAAAGCGCGATTTTTATTATAAATATTTTATTACATTTACAAATAAAAATAAATTTTATTACATTTTTAAACAGTGCGTATTATCATTTTACAAATAAAATGTAAACTATTTTCGATACTTTCAGAAATATCTTTTTTCCATAAAAAAAGACACCTATTTTCGCCACTTCAAAATATCCTCTTTCCAATGATCCAAAAAAAATTTAATTTTCGAACGCGCGTTAGAATGTTTGCTACTAGAACTATCTTTCAGTTTCACCATCCTACAGTTGCAGATCATAATAAGTAAAGTAAAACGTTAGTATTCGCGAGACCACTGTCTAAATTTGAATTTTTCTCAATGACTTAAAATTTAATTTCCTATAAATGTCTAGTTAAACATTAAAGTAGAAAAGTTGCGCTTTATTCTACAATTCTGCTTTTTTCCTTTTACAGTTTCTCAGATATGGAATTTAGAAAATTGCACCGGTTTAATGTGACCTTGTTTGCGGTGGGGGCGACTTTTTGGAGGTGTCTGATCGAAGGATTAAAGAGATCGATTTTCATCATTCGTCGAATGATCGGTAATCATGTTGGAAGTGCGTCAACGTGTAACACACGTGCCCAGGTGATGAGTGCCGACGACATACGTTTTCCTTCTGTGCGAACGATACGAGCCCCGGCACGACGTCATAAAAGCTAACAATGATGGAAATATTAGTTCTTAAAGGCGCGCGGGGTGTCGTTAACGGCTCTGTCGCGCCTTCTCCCGTTAAAGCCACGTTAAGGCTGCGTCGCGAGGAATTGCCTCCCTGGGCGCCCGTCGAATTTCTTTACAAATTTTCCGTGCCTCGCGTCTCTCTCTCTCTCTCTCTCTTCTCCCCTCTTTCTTCATCGCGCGCGCACGATACGAGCTGCAGTTATAACTTCCTATAACTTCACTTCCCATTGTAGTATCGTGGCGAGTTGGCGGGGAAAGGAGCGCGAATGGACTTCGCTTTTCGAAGTTACGTCTTAATCACGTCGTTCGCCCTTTCTGAGTGCCACGGGTGCACGTTTCCAGGTTATAAGCGCGAAAATACGCACGTAAGGCTATAAAGAGAGAAGTGAAATCCGATGAAAATGACAAGACTGTCGGATTTTATAAAGTGCGCATATATAAATAAGGTGAGCCGCAACTTTTGATCTTAAGACGGATTCTCGGGTAAATCTCGAAGTCGATTATTTTCTTCGTGAAAATGTCGCAATACCGGTAATCTCCGAATGCAAAGAAATGTAGAGTTTTTCGTGAAGAAAATTCCAGGCGAATGAACAGACAGCAAAATCATATTATTCGTTTAATTTCAAGTAAACCGGTAAATATTCCCTGAACAATTTTAGCGCGATAATTTATCGATATTGAATTTTCTTGAAAGACCGGCAAGAAAAGTCGCAGTCGTTGGCAAATAATTACAGTAAACGCGAGGCGGAACATTTCTTTCTCGTATATAAACGAAACCTCTCGGGATATCCTTAAAGTCGAGCTCCGTTCGTCCGCGGCCGATAACGCCGGACCATTATAAATTTAAGCGCTTTTAGCGAAAGCTACGTCAGGTCACAGCCGTTTCGCACGCAAGCTGCACTTTGCATGCCGCATTCCGGACGGCTTGCCACCCTTGTTTGAGCTGGCCGAATGGTGTTGCGCTCAAAGTCCGAATGCATAATTAATCGGGTTATCAATTAAAGGCGCACCGGCGATTCGTAACCGCTCTCTATGACCATCGACTCCTCGATTATCGACTTGCCGTAATGTGCATTGGTATAAATAACCGATTCACGCTGGCACTAATTAATAAGCAATTAAATTCGACTAATTTCGGATCAATGCGTAGTTAAAATAAATTTGACAATTGCGTTGAAACTTTTATGCTCCAACGTTAAATACACATATTTCTCTCTTTCCCTCTCTGTCTCTCTCTCTCAATAATCTAATCTTAGATTCAATTTTTGATAAAGTAACACTCGTCCCGAATCATCAAACTAAAAGATGAGTTCTGCATTTTAAAAAATATTAATTTTAACCGTTTGCATGAGAGAGAATTACATTTTCAATCATTTATTACACAAAAATTATATTGATACTATGATATTGATACAATTACCGTTATTACCGGTTTGGTTTCTAATATTGTTAAAATATATCGATACGGGACATTTTCTCTGTATACAGTAATGCGATGCGTATTTATATTGCAGCAAAAATTATTCGATTCGCCATCGGGCAATAATCCAAAATATACATATACAATGCCGCGTAACCCAATGCGTTTATATGTAAAGATTAAATTATTAATTGATCTGTTGTACTTCGTATGGCCTATTATAACATTTGACAGGTAATAAAGAGTAATAATAATCATGGCGTAGCGAACCAAACAACAGATAATCCGAAATAAATCCACAATCGACATTAATTCTTGCTCTACAAAAATATTTGTATCGCTTTCCGATGGCTTCCGAAAATTTACATAAATTATGAACGGGAATTATATTGTCATGGAAACGTGATCTCTAGTAACTAAGTACGGAAGAAAGATGTTGCATTTAGGGACAGTAAGGATCAAATACGTACGACATAAAAAATAGAATTCTTCTATAAAACTTAAATAAAGCAGGAGTACATATACTTAACTCATTCTAACAGAAGAAGAGCAAATATACGAAAACGTAGCTGATAATATACGATGAATAATTGTTGAAGTCATTCTTAAGTCATTCTTAAGATAATGACAGAGACAGACTTATGTGTAATGATGAGAAGCGAATTTCGTGTGAAACACGCCAAAAATAAAGAATATACATCTAATATATTCAATATATACAATATTTCAGAAAAAGAAAATCACCGAGGAGCGGAAACTGGTGCGAACGGACAATCGAAAATTATGATTAATGATAATTGAATTACTTACTGATTTTTCCACGATACCTCCTGTTCGTCAGTCACTGTGTCGATCCGAGCATCTACTTACCGTTGCACATACTCACTTGAAATATATTTCATACACACTCACTTGTCACTCACGCACTACGCGGATGCAAATCGATCGGCGAAATACACAGCTAATAATGATATCGCTGTTATTTACCAGCTAAGAACCGACGCGCCATATTGAAATCACATGTATGTATGTACACTTTCGTGCACTTTCTATGGCGTTCGTTACAATTCGAAACTAAAGACGAAACGAGACAGATTTAGGATGGAGTGAGAAACATTGAAGGACGCCACTCTAACTTCACGTCGGTGCGCAAGTCGTCGTGACTGACGCGCCGTGTGATCGTCGTAGTCACGTTAATTAGCTCGCGGAATCGTCATTAGTCGTATTTCTCCAGTCGATTAGCCGATTATACGAGTGCACGCGCAACATGTAAGTGATTAGTCACTGCAAATAAGTGTGTGATAAGTGAATAACGAGTGAACAGAACAACGACAAGTGAATGCTTGAAGTATCGCAGTAACCGACAGGAATAATGGTGTCTTGGTGACGAATCATTCGGTGAGTAATTGAGTTATAATTGGTCTCAGCTTTCGGCCGTCTGTTTGCATTCGTTCTCGTTTTTCTTAATTACGGCTCCGAGATATCACATCAATGCTAACCCTTAAACCAAAACATCCGTCTGTTAGACGCATACAGCTTCCATTCTTGTCAATATTTTCGATACTGACAAATTATAAATATTATTAAAAAAATCTTCTGATGTGTTTTGGTTTCTCCCCCGAAAGGATTAGACTGCCAAAATAAATATTACGGTTAAAGTTATGGCCTTGTAACGAGAATAGCCGTCTCTCAGACGGATGTTCCTAGAGTTCACTTGAAAAATTGTGTTCCTTCAGGTTGAAGGGTTAAAATATATATGCGTAAACATTCGTTCGTCCTCTAGAAATCTTTTGGTATTCGAACACGATTGCGAATAAGTTCGAAAACATGATGTTGAAAGTCGCGCTCTCCACTGACGCGCCCTCTCGTGTGACGCCAATGTCGATATTGCAAGGTCAGATACCGACGTAGGATACAGAAACGACGTGATTATTTAATGAGGTAGCGGACTTACCGACGAGCAATTTTATTAAATGATGAGGTTAAGTCGGAAACACGCGAGGATAAAATATTTGTATACTTTTTCTCGAGAAATTCAATAATCTTATCATCGACAATCTTATTCGTATCTTTATATCGGGTATTTTAAAACTTATAGTTGTTTGTATATCTTTTTCTTGTATACATCTAGTTCGCATATATGACAACATAGAAAACATATAACTTAGTCTACAATGTGCTCTTTGCGTTTTATTTTTTGTTCTTTATCTTTCTTCTGTAAGAACTTCTGCTTACTTATGGAAAAGAAATAAAGAGCAAGAAACAAGACGCGAAGAGCAACATTGTACATCAGGCTTAATGTTTCAAATCTGGACAAGACGTCTTATGTTCTGCTTTCACATATGAAAAAGTTCCTCGTGCGAGAAGACCATCAAAGATTTTTCAGACCTCTTCAAGATATTTTTAAGATGTTTTGATACGTTTTAATATTCTCTGAGATCAGATTAGTATTGAGCGATAAATTTTATCTCGTGCGTCATCCATCGAAGTAAACATTAAAATTAGATTAACTGTAGCACTTTGGGTTGATATCTTGATGATAAAACGACTAAATAATAATGACGGTCGTGTTTATTTTTCCTCCACTGACTAATATTCTTGTTAATTATTTTGCTCATAAATTAAAAGAGTATAGGTAATATTCTCGATTAACCAAACTATCAATTTTTATATCATTCCGAGATAATATAATCGAGAAAATATAATATAAGCTTGTTTTCGAATTATCGCAGCATATAAGGGCAGGATAATATATATTGGCGGCAATAAAATACAACGGATTTAAATAAATTCTACGAATTTTATTAACTTAGTTGCCTATTTCTGGCAGGAATGTAAAACATCGTAATTACATAGTTATTCTTTCTAAGTTTCGTTAAGCATGGAATTTCACTTGAATGATAATAAGGTACTCCGAATGTTGCCTATATGTTGGATATAGCTCCATCGCATTGCGGGTCTATTATCATCGTCAATGTAGATTATAGAGTGCCTTCGTCATGGTTACTAATTAACAGCTGCAAGGCTTGCACGAGCACTGTCCGCCCGTCTTGCAACCGCAATTATCTGTAAAAAGAAAGACAATTTGTTGGCATAAAATTCAAATTAAAAATTCCTACCCGCGCTTATCGTGTGAGGAGAAGACGCGGGGCGCGTAATTGAATTGTGCGCGTGGGATGATGTAATCATGCAAATAGCGGAATTTAATTAGTGCGCAAATTCCAACAATTTCTAAAATACCTCCGATGTGGAAGAAAGAACGGAGAGAATGGGAGGATGAAAGTAGCGTAAATGAAAGAGGAATGCGTTCCGGGAAATCGTCGTTCATTCTATCATGAGCAATAATCGAAACAATCATCGAAGCTCCGAGAAAAGCGTTACGTACAATTGCACCACCACAGCGGAACGCGCCGCGGAATTGCGACGCAAACGGTGCTAAACGGCACGACGAATAGGCGTCGGCTGCGGCCGTCATTAGTCGGTCATTGTACGGTATAAAACAAAATGTTCTGTACGGTCGCTCCCAGAACACGTTCTTCATAGTCGATACGTTTAACTTTGCAAGAAGGAGAGACACAGGGACAGAGAATGAGAGAGAGAGAGAGTGATGGGGGGGGGGGGGGNAACTGGTTCACGATTAAAAATAATCGGATCGTTATGATAAAATGGAGCATAAATCAACGGAATTTGCGAGCGACAGGCACTATTAATTTCCAAACGTAAATGTAAACTTAATTACCTTTGCATCCGGAATCGCAGCACGAGCAGCTATCGCCGCACTTGCAGTCCTTGCACTTGTCTGTAAGCAATACGAAAAGTACATATTACACATATTGAAGTACATATTACAGGTACAAACACTACAAACACATAATTAGATAGAAGTCGTTTGAGAGAAGTCGCATTCGCGAATTACTTTGGAATATCGATCCGCGTACAAATGTACAAAAAAAGCGTTCAACCGGCTGCGATAAGCCGGTTTCGTGTAACGCTATCCTCTAATTTCGCTACGTGCACATTAACAGCAGCTCTCTAAATCATCAGTGAAAATCGAAGGAACATTGCGCTACCATTGCCATGTCGTACGAATGATTTATCAGAATTCTACCGAACCGGTTGATTATACTCGTGAGTGCACTCACCTTTGCACTTCTCGCATCCTGGTCCCGGCATCTTGGCTGGTTGCTTGGGCTGGCTTCGACTGTCAGATACTACGACGGAACGCTTACTTGCCGGTACCACGCCGCGGCTTCGAATTTATCGATCGCGCCCCACTGCGACCAGACTTTGGTTCCGAGCGGCTTGACGAGCGTGTGCAACCGGCAAATGCGTGCCATGCGCAACCGTTCAGGGCCGTGTCAACTCTGCCGGCACGACCTTTTCCAACAGGTTGTCGGAAACCCTGGAAACAGGGTCGAATTAGAGAGAGAAAAAAAGAGATGTCGGAATATCAGTCTATAGAGTTATTGCGTTTCAAAGATAAGGACAAATTAAGTAGATTCGAGCAAAACAGCAAAGTTAAGAATGTATCGATTTCGACAACGACGCTTCATTATGTTTTTTACATTGTGTCTAAAGATGCTAAAAGATGCAACGTACGATATAAGTGGAACGTTATTTTTCATTAACGCGAACGAGATATGTAAGCTCAAGTTGTTCAACTTCTACAAGTTATATAAAATATCTTATGGGAGTGATCGTAAAAATTCTATACTCGCGTGCGAAAGATAATTTCCGTGTTATTAGTGACATTTTAATAATTTAAAAGGTCAGCTCCACGAATATATTTGTGCACATTTACACGTGGTACTCGAAGCGTGTCTATTGTATAAAGAAGCGTGGAACATTACGTAAGACGAAAAAAGTGATCTTGATCAAGTCCGGCGTGTCAGGGACATAAATCCGTGAAATAACACACACGTCCACCGAGAGAGCGGTTCTCTCCTTCCTGATCGTGCGGTTAAAAAATTTCAATTTAAAAATCCGCTCGCGTTATTGGCGCAGATCACAAGGGTATCATTGATCCGCGATCGACGGCCCTGCCCGTGTACATAAACGACACGAGACCAATAGCGGTAACGACGCATTTCGCGACTCGTTATGCGCTGTATCGATAAGAGTCTTGTAACATGCGATATTCGGAAAATTACGTTGCGCACTGAAATCGCCACGTATTGACTCACTTTCTGGGACACCTTCGTCTCGCTTTTTGCCTTACATTATTTTACGCCTTTTTTCCACGGTGGATTTTACGATCGTCCCTCGTTAAACCGCTCTCTTCTCAGGATTCTGAGAATACTGAAAAGCGCCCTACCTTTTCTCTTCGTTCTTATTTCGTATATATTCCGAGTTGTTTCTCTAATTACTCCGCAGTCTAATAATGTACACGAGAAATATCTCCAATACCCGTTTTACGTTATTTATTGACAAACCAATTTTATTCGCAGAAACAGATCACTTCTTCCCGGTGAATCGCGGAAGAAGGAAATCGCATCATCGCAGTTACAGTTATGATTAAATTCTATGGAAAGAGGCTGTTCAACTTAACGGAACAAAATAGCACGCGATAAAACACGGTGCGCGACTTTACGACACGAAAAACGCGGAATGATCGGTGACTTAAGAAAAGTGAATAAAATTGCACATTTAATGGAACAACATCTTACATATAAAAAGTTTGATTCAGCTCTGATAAAAAAAAAAATTAACGTGCATTAGAGATATCGATAATCTTTATAATACATGAGTGATTTTCAACAAATATTTCGGTATGGGCTAATAGCCCTTTTGTACACGAGAGAAGTGCGTTTTACGGGCTGTCTGCTCGATATGTACGGATTCTTCTGCGGAATCGTAGTGAATCTCAGGTTGCTCCGAGCAATCCGTTTGAACCGTCTTCGTTCGACCTGAAACAGCGCGACGTAAAGATTAATTTCATATGTACTTATAACAACTACATATTTTTAGGAGTAAATTGACCAATTCGTGGCTAAGTTCGTTACCTTCGTGTCGAATCACAACCTTGTCTTGCGTGGCGCGCAATAATTCGTTTATGCGATTGCCCACTTTTCGATTTTCCGTTTCTTTGATCTGCAGAAAATTACCTCTTGTTAATAACTTGTTACGCATCGTTACAAATTAAAATTCCCAGCCGTACATACCGTGCGTACATGAGACGGCAGCTTGTAATGCACTTTCGGATGTAGAAAGTTATCGGGAACATTTTCATCTCTCGCTGCTGTACCGGCGAGTGTCTGAAATAATCGCAAATGTATCGTAAGGAATCTTGGAAATTACATCTGTACATTTACTAACACCGTACATATTACAATCTAATGACTCACCTTTTTGGGCTGTTTCGGTGATAATCGAAACTTCATTTCCGGCTTTGTATTAACCGATGGCACATGTTGCTTTCTCCTTGGCGTCAACAACATCTCATCCGTTTTAGGCCGTAAATTTTTGATCAGGTGAGGGTTCGTGCCTTTGATGTACATGCCAACCGGCGATATCACGCTGTCGTAATTTAGTCCCATTTTACGACAAATACTCTGCGCACACGGACTGATGTCAGGTTCCTTGTTCGAGCTCTTCTTCAAGTTCTCTTGCTTAATCGGACTGACTCCCGCGTTGCGAAAATACGTGCGTTTCTCCCTACACACAGTCCTCTTGGCAGGAGTCTTCCCGGGAGTTATGAACAGCTTCGGTTTCGGAACGGCGAATATTTTAGGCGAAGGACTCCTGCTAGTTCCTCCTCTCGTTCCTCTCGTTATCGAGGACTTCGGTGCTGTCAATGTCGCAACGTTAACTTTATTAGCCTCCTTCGCGCGAGCGTCCTTTTTACTTTGCGTAGGACGAGACTTGTACGATTCTGATCGTTGTAGTAAATTGAGCAAGGGTCTGTACTCCTCCAAATACTCCTGGTATTTCTTACAAGACATCAGTGTTTCCATCAACTTGACGTCCTTCTCCGTCGACAACCTCGCCTCGTTGACGCTGCTAATCGGACACGTTCCCTGTGCTTCCAACGGCTCCGAGCTCCCGTTGATCTCCATTATTACTTTTGCCGTGTTGAGGCACCTCTGCCTCTTCTTCGCGATTTCATATATAAGCGTCTTCTGCAGATCGTCCGGCTCGATTATCTCGCAACGTGTTTGACATTCCGCACGTTGCATGGGCGACACGCTCTTCGACAAGATTTTCTTAGGTTTATCCGGCGTGAAAACTATGAGGTCGTATTGGAAGCTCGATGTCTCAGGCGTCGTGTTGTGTTGGCTCGCCGGGTCGGAAGTGGACGTCGCAACGTTCCGAACTGGCTCGCGAACGCCGAACGAATCCTCCAGAGATGCCATTTGAGTGCTGCACTTGTGCAAAATATTATTCATGTTTCGCAGGGGCGACTGCAAATGATTCTTCTGTTGCGGCGACGGTCTGTACTCGTCCGGGAACAACCTCTTGCAGTAGGCCTCCAAACATTCGAAGGTGCTCGTGCTGTCGTGCACGTTTGTACTCTCATACGACGGACTCTGTGTCTTATCGAGCGCGGCAGAGATCGTCTTTGGAGTACGCCGGAAAATCTTCCTGGGACTTTTACTACTTCGGCTGACAGTGGAAGAGATGGGTGTGACTATGCACAGACTTTTCCGCGGACTCAAAAGGATACCGAGCGATCTCCGCGAGGAATCGGGTTTAGGTTGTCCGTCTCCTTCCTCGCAAATCGACGTGCCTGGGGACGCAGGCCATTCAGGCACGGTCTCGTTATCTATGAATTTGCACATTTGTCGAAGTTCCGCGGTTAATCGACGCAAACTGACATCCGGGAATTCTCGCGTGTCGGAATCGTTGATTATGACCGATTCCTCGATTATCGTCAGTAATCTCTCTGTGAAGTCACTCGGCGAAATGTAAAATATCGTGGACAGACGTCTCAGCATTTGTTCTTGATTAAGCATCTCTCTCGGCGGCTTCTGCTGATTTTCCAACGAATGCAAAAGAGTCTTCAATTCGCAAGGATCGATGTCCTCTACTGTACTCCCGCCGCTTGTCAAGTCGTATTTCTGATCTTCCTCCATAGATTGCAAGTCATCCTTTTTGTTCGATGAGACAGGAGATTCTGACAAGGATATTGCATCGACTGATGGGACGATTGTTTCAACCTTCTCGTGGTTACTAGCTTCAACTGTAGTCCCTGCAAATGCTAAACAAAACTGGTTAGCTTTAATATTGTGATTTGTATCTCTCTTTAAGTTACTATTAAGTATAACGCTGTTATCTCTTTTAATTTCTTCCTTTTGACACAGACATGTATTTCAATGAATTTAACAATGCAGCATGTGACTACACACCAATTGAATCATATTGCATCTTCTAAATCTTACCTGTATTTAAATAACAAGGATCAACTTCTTTAACATTTGTCTTGGATGAAGTAGTAGAAATACTGGAGTATTCCTCGCAAGTTCCACTTTCCTTTTCCAGATATTCGTTATGAAACAGATTTATACATTTATTCAGGTCAAATTTAATTGGGATGTAAGATGTTTCATTCAATATATGGTTTGGTTCGTGCTGTATATCGCTATATTGAGTGTCAGAACTTTCCTCAGCAGTGTGATACGCATCAGAGGACGATACATATTGCTCTTTTGTTGAATTACTTGCTAGAATAATTGAATCACGGTGACACTTAATATTGTTTGGACAATTATGTTTATCACTTCCACATTGCCTATTTATTACAGAATCAGTATCTAAACTGTCCTCTGAATACATTTGAGATGCCTGGCTGTATTCTGTGTCAGATGTTTGACCTGCAATTAAATATATTTGTTCAACAATAGACCTCATTTAAGTTCCTGCAAAATCAACGTCGTTAAACACGAACGATGCGAGAAATTGTCGTACTTACGGAAACTGAAAAGAGAATCCGTGAAATTGTCGGCACGTCTTCGTCGACTATTCATACTACGATATTTTTCACAGAAGGATTTGGTCGTGCGTTACAATTTTAACTGTAAAAGATATCAATTTGCACCAGAGCTCTCAGCGAGCCACAAAAACACGAAACTCGTAACGGATTGAGCGGAGTTATACCATACCTATTTTGAACTATCAGGTGCACCAACCTGACCGGAATAGCTACATTCCAAAACAAAGCTCTTCAGGTATTTGAAAAGGAAACATGTGAAGAGGGGAGATAATTATGAGAGATTCATAACGCGTCTGTGACACACACGATATCCGTTAGGCAATAGATGAGGTTATATTCTAGGGACATTGACTAGCGACATTTTTGTCTCTGGGAAACAAATATTCTTTTGATTCGGTGTGAATTCTCCGTAAGATTGACACCACTGCATAGTACTGTTCTGTTACAAGTTCGTGGGAACGAAGAATAGCCATGTTCAGCGGAATGTTTAATTTGCAACTGTCTTTCTGAGCTGAGATTGGATTATTCTTTTAGATCTACGGTAATAATCCAATGTCAGCACAAGAAACTTCCAAGTTGCAAACTAAACGTTGCCGAACTCGGCCAATGGCACATAGATAAAACCTCGGTGTTTCCAGCGTGTATAACGAAAGCGAGAGAGAAGTTCCTGGAAAAATATCCACATCTGTCGCGTTTAAAAATTTGACTTATCTTCAAGTCTGTTAAAATTCATTCTACTTGTCCGATGAATGAAATATTATGAAATAAAAGGATATTTTCGAATTCAAAGAAGATTCAGGATCCAGATATAAATTCAACTATTGCCTGCCGTTCGATGAATTTAGATCAACAAGTAGCAAACGCTACTTCACCACCCATTGTGTATGATCAGAAATACATGAATTTCGTAGATACCTTATTGAAGGAATCGGCCGACGAGTTTGAGAAAGAAAGGAAATGTATGTATTATGTGATTTACCACTTGCCACTCAACATTAGTTTCTTACAGGTTTTAAATCCTTTTGGTACGATTTTATATCATAGAAAGAAAATATTTATTTTAAGTCATCCCATAAATAATATAAATTTTGAAGAAATTATTTGTGCATATTTAAGTAAAGAAAAATTATTTTTGCAAAGATTAATCATTTATTTTTCCTTTCTATATCCTACTATTATTTATTATATCTTATTATTTATGAGATGACTTGATACTTTTAGTTTCAGAGTCGAGTTTACTGAAACTATACAAGCTATTCGGTGTAACGTTTGAGAGAGGCTTAGATCTATATGAAAGGCGACGAGTCACACAAATCTCCACATCCAAGATAATTATAAAAGAACCATGCAAGAGTGCAAATGAGGCTAATTGGTTGATACAAGTTAAAGGACACTCAGGAGCATTGTATACTCTTTTTCCCGAAACAAATTATTGTACTTGTGATGCCTTCAGGTATATACGACTTCAGTGTTCAAAGTAATATTCAAAGTATCATGTTTAAAGCAATGTTTTACCTTGAAAGTAATGTCTACAAAGTTTCGCGCATCAAAGTAAATAGCTCATATGTTCTTGGTAGAACATTCTTGCATAGCTCTTGTAATATCATAGATATCAGGTACTGAAGGATCGGTCTGCTTTTACATGCAAACATGTATTGGCAGCTTGGCTAGCCAGCATTGACAATGAAAAATTGTTGCATCAGCAACTGATGCAAAAACAGTTCGACAGTTTATTGTTATATCAAGTCTCATACAAACATGATGCGTTCTAATGTCGAAGAATACATGCTAGTAGCAAAAATGGGACTGACAAATTTGAAGACCGTAATACAGTTACTAAAAGCTATCAATTTTAAGGAGGTATCTGAAATATATAAAAATACACTTCTACACAATTGTGATATTTTTATTTTTTATTAAGACAAAGGAAACATTTACATATTATACAGACAGCCACTTGCCTGGGCAGTGAAAATGGATTAAAGATTACAGTCGAAGACGCGAAATGTATGCAGGCTAGTGCATATATCCCGTCCACGATTTTTCACGAATTTGAATTGAAGGAGGATGTTATATTTTCGATAAGTTTAAGCATATTGGTAGAATGCCTTTGTATGTTCTGGCCCAGTTCGCAAGAAGATTCAGTCACAGTGCAGATATTTTACAAAGTAAATCGTACAACTAAATGTTAAAACCCAATAGTCTGTACGAAATGCAACAAATACCATTGCAATCCATTGTAGGGCACAGGCCATCCTTTAAGCGTTATCATTGAAGAAGACGGTGTCATAACAGACTGCTCTTTAAAAACTCTAGAAATAGATACATTGTTGGACTTCCATTTCGAGGCAAAGAACGTTTTGAACAAAGTAGTGTTGCAAACGGAATTGCTGAAGGACATCATTGCCGAGTTAGATCCAACTAGTGATCTAGTCGAAGTATATATGTGATTTACAAACAATTATTTCGTTAGCAATATTTTGAGAAAAACATGCAGTTTGTGCCGGAATAATTCGTCTAATGATCATTCACCGGCGAGGGTCGAGAATGTTCCCTTGAAAGATACATCGTTTACGTTTTAGTTGCGTTTATCGCCGGAGAAACCGTACTTCCGAATCAGCACGGAAGGTCTGGGCGGCGTTTGCCATATCGACTTGCCGCACGATAGCGATTTAGTGGATACTTTCCAATGCACGTTGACGGCGACGTCCAATTTCAAATTGGCGCACATTAAGCCAGCGATGCGTGCGTTGTCATGCGCCAACAAGGTTTCCTTGAGAATCGACACTGTCGGGATATTGTGTTTCCAATACATGGTCAAAACCGAAGACGGACACACCTGTTACATCGAGTATTACGTAAGGCTTTGCATAACAAAATACACGAGTGGTCCGATAACGAATTCCGTCGCATCAATGACGTAACATTGACATCCAGATGCGGAGGGATTTTTAATCGTCATATCATTGAGCGTGGTGTGTCCCGGCATCGCGGTTGGTATAAAAATTTCGTACTTCACTTACAGATATCTTCGTTGATAAATATAGACGACTAAGGCGGTAAATGGCCAAGCAGTGATAGCGTAAGCGATAAAGTCGTATCTCGTCGAATCGATAAACAATTTTAGAGGCCTACTCGTAAAACAAAATTGTATCAAGAATGAGTAAATATATTTTATACGATTTTCACGAATGCTTTCTTTCCTTTTTTTATAATAATTCTTATAGGTACCTCGGTTTATTTTTTGTAAGACTCGGGAGATGAAAGAAGAATCGAAAGTTGTGATGAAAATATTGTATGTATTTCTGCAATCTTTATTCGTAAAAAAAAAAGTTCATATGGCAAATATTATTCGTACAAGTAATGGATAGCGTAGCTACCGTTGTGAATGAAACAACTCACCAACGACGATATTACATATTTCATTATGTAACGCGCAATACGAAAAACTCGTCCAAAAAAAGAAAAATGTGCACGACTCTCGAGCGGCTAATTTGTGCTTCGGTTATCGATCTTCCCTTTACAAAAGCGTACGTGTATCGAAAAACGTAAAGAATTCAACTTCGTGTAAAAGACGCGTAACATGTCTTTGCAATTTGTATCGTGTTATTTGCGAAATTATATCCTCACGACAACGCTGTAAAAATTTATTAAGCTAACACACAGACGATCCAGCGCTGACGTCGTTGACATTCAACGTTGCCGCACGCTCGAAGAGAGACAAGATCTTGAACAACAATTGACATGTTCTTTCATAGAGCGCTCTTAAAAGCACGTATGGAGTTGTGCACGCCCTCTCAGCCGAGAAACTCCTATTCCTGGACCTTGTATACCCTCGTGCAAACTATGTCGTCAGCCTTCATAATCTGTAACACAAATATACGTGACGGTCAGTACACACGTCGCGGTGCGATCGCAATTTCGCGCATTGACGGCAATTTCTGGACAAGTGCGGGAATTATTCGTGCGCCGGTGTCTCACGGCATTAACACGGCCGCCGTGTTAACACCGTGCACGCCGCCAGACGGATCAATAGATCCTCATTGGCATCGTTTTGGAGCCCGTGGAATTGTAAGTGTCACGAACAGGAGGTACGCACGCGATAATTGGCCGGACATCTGACGAATCATTATGACATTAGCCGTACTCGTGCAACGATCCCTCGGCGTTCCTGCACGTAGCTTTTGTGCTTTAATCGCTAATTCCCGCGCTCGCACGAGCGATACGATTCGACGACGCTCTCAGTGCTCGAAGGGGAAAAAAGAGAAGAGGGCACGAACGATAAATGTATCTTCCCGCCCGACCGATTCACGTCATCGTCACCGTTATCGAAATACTCGTGCAGATTACATATAAACTGTTTACTTTTTATTTCTCAGAAGCAACCAAAACTCAGAGGTAATAAAAACGTTTTCAGCTTCCGATCGAAGTTATACGGACTTTAGAACTTAGTATAAGGAGTGGTAACGTAAGAAACGGATATTTCACACTTAGTATATTACTCGCCGGTCAAAGTTCAACGTTGCAAATTGACTTGCAGTCTTAATAGCGCAACGAGCAGAAAGTAAAATATCTGCGATCTATAAATGGTATAACACCGAGTGTAACTAATAAATATTGTCGCAGCTGTGCAGTTTGATCGATAAGCTCTCGCGCGCAATTCGTGAAGAAAATACTGACGATATCACTGGCACAAGATGATTCTAAATATATCGCCGCGTGGATTTGCATCATATCTTTATATTTTTAACGGGTTTAACGAAACATCAATGCCATCTTTGCTGTGTTGCGTGTTTGAACATTCAATCGTATATATTTCCCGAAATATTTCCTACCGCTTTCATCTCCGTGGGCGAGAATTCCCTCTCGATCGTAGTATCTTTGTCGCCCTTCTGCACTTGCACGAGTTTGTTACCCTCCAGAGTGCAGACGCTCTTCACTTTCCTGCCGTCCGCCGTCTCCTCGTCGAACTCCTCGCCGAGCTTGAACTTGATTTCGGTGTTTTTGAAGGGACTGGTCGTCTTCAACGTGTACGTCCCGTTATTTTCTGTCAGTTCGACCACGGGACTGACGCTGCTGCCCATTTTACGTGTCATCAGACCCACCCCTGAAAAAAAATTGATAAAAATCGCTGTAAAATCGTGTACAATTCGGACGGCTTTCTCCAATCTCTCTCTCTCTCTCTCTCTCTCTCTCTAACCATGAAATTAAAAGATCTCATCTTCAAGATTTCAGCTATAGAATTCTCAAATTTAGAAACTGCTCTAAGATTGAGCACCTTGGAAAGGTTCGCCCTATCGTTAGATAAATAAAATAGAAACACTGTACACATGCCCGTCAAAACGCGCTAGTCTCACCTAAGGTTTTCATATATTCGTCGAACTTGTCGCTCGATTGAAGCTTGTAACGCTTGCCCAAGATACCGGTCAGTATTTCCGACGACATTCTAACGTTCGATGTATCGCTGGCGCCTGCGAGAACGAGACTGGCTAACAGCGCAGCCGGCTAGCGTGCTTTATGCGCGCTTCCATAATTGATTAGGCTCCGCATGCAAGGTAGTTCAGTGTATCGGCGGTTATCGCACAAGCAGAAAACGGGTATTGATTAAAATCCGAAGCGAAACGTAAACTTTGAAGTTTGACCCCCAGTCCGAGTGGAATATATGCATTATTTATACGAATAGACTCTCAACTTATCATTCAAGATGACACCGTCTCGGCACACGAATACACATCGCGATTTCGTGACGTATGCGCATTTCCCGCGCTTACGTGTTTGGCACGAACCTCCGAATTAAAATGTTGTGCAGCAATTTATAGCGACAGATATTTTCTCAAAATCACGTAACGATTGGAGTCCCTCTTATCTCCCCTTATTTTAGGACGTTTTCGTTTTAACATGTTTGGACTGATTGCTTATCATAAAGCCAACAAGAACAGCTTAACATGGTATTTTGTCCTAACGAGCAGTAAAGAAGCAATTATCGCTCTATTAAACATTTTACAATAATTTCGAAGTGCGCTTCGTGGCAAACGTGACTGCGGTAACGTTAGTCTTAGCTTGTTTCTATTATGTAACCTTCAGTCGGAGAAGGAAATCTTTATCTCGTCGCTGATTAAAAAATTCGAGCTATAGGAAATGCTGCGGTCTTACTGCATCGACGGTCGATTTTATCTTTATTTTTATCAAATCGGCTCTCTCGGAAAATACCGTACATCAATTTACGCGAGATGTTACGACATCGCGCACACAGTGAAGCTACATGTCGCGGACGGTGCGTCTAGACTTGCTCGCTTATTTAATTTCCGGCAAATAATTCTCGAAGATTACCGCAACTACGTCGGCCGAGGGTGGGAATGTTGATAATCATTGAACAATGGTTCTACAAAGAACGGTTCGTGTATGTACGAATCGGCTGACACACAAAATCTACCGCTTCTACCGCGATCCTGCCTCGAGGTGAACGTGTTTGCTTAATAGGAAAACAAGAAGGAAGAAAAAGGAGAAGTGCGTAAGCCGGCCGTGCGTTTGCGTGATTCGACTGACAATTGCGATTTATTAATCTCGTTGATGAATTAATTCAAGTGTTAAATTGGACCACAATCAGACTGTCTGCGGCACACGGTTGGAATTAAGATCGAGGTCAGGTCGTTGCACGAAGATGAGGGCGTAATTCAACGTATTAAAATTGATTACCCTTCCCGTCCTTATTGATATCTTGCTAATGCAAGCAAATTCAGCGGCTAATTAAGCGATTAAGCTTATGATAACCACTGTAGGCGGAAGTTGCGTTCAATTACGTTCGTGTACTTTCGGTAAAGACTGTCAACTGTTCGAGAGCTAAAAGTAGAAACATTCAAGATTACGCGCTAAATTATACGTTACAGCCTTCTCTTTCGAGAGATCGCGACCGTATTGATGAATATTTTTATAAGTTGCCGTATAATTCTCAATTTAAATTTCTTTTGTGTAATTTTGGTTCTTTTATTTCACAAATAGAATCCTATCGTCAACCATGTTCGTCTAAAGCGAACTTTAATTAGCATTCTTACTCGTAGCTGGTCGGAAATTCTGTGAATAGGCAAAGTGTTATTCACGAATGTCTTTCAAAAGGTCCTTTGGTGTTTGTTTCGTAACTTTCACGTCTTATAACATCTTACACGTGATACGTGTGTCGCAAAACCGTGATTTGTGTTTCCGAGAGCGTACAATGTACGCTAAGATCTGGTTACATTAATAGTATAGCTTATCGTAAGACTGCGTATATATATACGTTTATATTCTATTTCCACAAATGCAGGGAAAAAGGTTTCTGTGATGAATCATCTGCAAGAGATATCTACTTTTTTTATATTTTGTGGATTAAATTATATATCACTCACCGTGTTGATCTAAGATTTTTAACGGCGTTATCTTCTCTGCGCGTACCTGTGCAATAAAACGCCTTTATCTATCTACCTATCTCACGATACCAAACGTGTATTATTTGTACACGCTGCACACGGGACCATTTACGTACTTCGATTTCCGTCTGTCACGACCGATCAAGATCAGTCGTCTTCTGAAATATCGCTTTATCGCAAAAATTCTCCGAATTGTCGCGGCACGAAAATAGAAACGGAGGGCACGTGTCACCTACCGCCTTTTTTTTTCATTCCGTTTTCCGCGTCAGAGCGACCGTCGACGTGGCTGCACTTCGTTCGAGCGATCAAACCGATGCCAAAGGCCGCGCGTTCAATTACATGCGTACTCACCGAGCGCCTTCATAAAGTCATCGAAGTTCTCGCTGCTGAAGAGCTTGTAGCGTTTGCCGAGGAACTGGTCACCGGACATGATGATCGGCCGAAAGTGGAGAGAGCTGTTCGGTAACACGCGTGTGCGGAACAAGAGAAGTACAGCCGACGGGTCAGTCGATACAACTGAGACCGGACTAGGTAGCTACTCCTGGTCGATCGGCGCGGAACTGAACAGGACCAGGGCTAGGATGAGGGACGCCGGTGGCACGAAAACTTTATCTCTCACTGAACTACGCGGCACTCTCTCTCTATCCTTCTCTCTTCGTCCCTCCCACATACTCAACGCTCGCTTGTTCCGCCTTCGATGCTGGGGTCGCGCTCCCTCTCTCTCTCTCTTCTTCTTCTTCTCTCTCCCTCTCTCTTTCTCTCTCGTTTCCTCCTCGCCCCCCTCGCGGCCCCTTCAAAGCCACCCTATTTCGAACCGTCCGTTGCAGCTCGCTCTGTCTTTCTCGATTCTCCGATGCCGGTTCTCCTTCTCTCTCGCTCGCTCCCTTTTCGACCCTTCCGCCCTTCTCCGCCAGACTTCGAAATTTCCCTACCATGCTACTCACCCGGATGCTTCGAGGTTCCCCTCCACTTCAAAGTCTATTCGCAGCTGCGAAGGCGCGACGCGCCACCGGTGTCTTACTTCGCCGCGTCCTGCTCGTGCAATTAGCGACTTTTTCTTCGTGCGGTAAATTTCTCATTCATTTTTTTCGTGCGGGTTGCACGTAGGGGGGAAAAAAAACGAAACGGGACAGGAAACTGGTTGAAGCGATGAGCGAATCGGCGCTTCGATGAACGCAGCTCGTTTGGGTCAACGTCGAGTCAATCGGACAAGCTCCATAATTAACGCAACAGATTGGTCATGATTAAATGAACGCTATAAAGCGCATCAACGGGATTTCTTAATTCACGAACGTGTAATTTTTCTGCTTCGAACGGATGAAACGTCTGTCCGAACGAAGACGATCGTTAAATTTTTATTCATTAAATTTGGATCGTCCGAATATTGGTTTCAGTGTGCAAACGTTTCGTTTGCAGAACACCACGTACGCAGTCAATTTTTCCAACAGACAATGCACGTCCGCGCGCAATAATACTCTGGCTCAACCTGTTTTATTTTACACGACGAGATAATGTCGGCAGCGTAAAACATGAGTCACACGCAACGTGCGGGGTCATTACGATTATCGGCATTGTGGTAGTGTGCGAGGGCATACGCCGGGCGAATCGCGTACACACAGCGAGCATCACGGATATATAATTATAGCAATTTAGATTTTCGAAAGTTGCATACGAAGCGCGCGACTATTTGCGATTTTTGCATCCGCGATCCTATCTGTTACGTGGCCGATTCGAAGTTCAAGAACAGCTGGGCGTTCGGAGACCGTCGACTTTCGAACCTGTCATGCGTGATGCGTGGTGCATATCGGACCATGCGAGTGCCGAGTCCTCATTGGCTGGCGGATCAGCGCGCGCGGCCCCGCGACGAATCGTTCCTACATTCGAATAAATGGTTAATGGCACTTACCAGACCCTTTTAAATCCCTTTGTAATTGCGTTCAGAGTCCCGCGACGCAGGCGTTTGCGCGTCGTACCATTCAAATTTGCGATTCATTACGCGAGTCTTATTCGTTGCGACCTTCGTGTCTAACGAGTGTCGACAGCAAACTGATCGAAACTTTCACGCGTATCTCAGCGTGCGTTACGACATCGGAATATTTGAACTTGAACTATGAATAAAAATATGTCCTTCTCGCATCCTTCTTGCGTGATTGTCGAAACCGTTTTTGTCGCTTTAACACACCTGAAGTATTAATTCAAACCGAATAGAGTCCAGATTTTTTTTCTTTTTATAAACAACAACAAGAGGTAAATAAATTCGAAAGTTTCATCTTTCGGCATCTTTCTGACACGGTTTCCCGAGTACGCGTTAGGAAAGGAATTCAGCCTATGGCGTATCGCGACAGTTTCACGTCTGCGATCCGGTAGCGTCGATTTCGTAGCTGCGATCCGCAACGCCTGCCACGGTCGATAACGGTGCGGTGGAAACGCGTCGACGTTGCCGTACTCACGCACACACCCATCGCACACGTGATAATGTCGCGTAGCAACACGTGAATTCCGACACCCACGACGAAGGCTTGGCAACATCGCGGCGGCGCGAATTCCGCACTCGGTGGAGGGTGTACCTCCTGTGCGAAGAAACGGCCGGAGTGTTAGCCGATATATTGACGCGATGTTATCTCCGAGATAACATCTCGCGGGATGTAGACGAGCGACTTCCGCTCGGCTCCTCATCCGACATTCACCGAAAGGAACAGATAAGGAAAATGAAATAATTGTGCCCGGTCGGAAAAATCGCGTTCGATAACGCGCGCGCGCGAATAGACGCGTATCTCGATTACCGATGCTAATTGCTAATTCATGTGCAGCCAATGATACGTCCGAGATTACCGGTTTCCAACTACGTTCAGCTGGAGTCAGAACTCTTCGGTTTTCGTTTTCCGGCGAACGCATTTTTCTGCCCGCAATCACCGGTTTGCCGGTAGCAACTATCAGGATTCGAGCATGATTTAATCGTTTCCAATTTCGAAAAATTCATACGGACGAAAGTTCGCACGTCGCAAAGTCAGATTAGCTCAGGTACCGTTTCAAGAACGCATCCACCATAGGTCGCTCGACAGGACCTGTCGGAATCAAACGCTCGGCGGACGACGCGACTTCACTCGTGAAGTTCGCTCGGTTTTCGTGACGAAAGTCGTCCTTTTTACCGGCCGCCTTTTTTGCGCATTTCTGCGCGCGAACACCACGCGGTGTGTCTACGTGTCCGATCTGGCATTGCGCGGCGACGCGATTCCGCCGTCGTCTTTCGGCCCGCCGACCCGCGGGCCACGCCAACTCGCGCGCTGCTCTGGCAACGTCGCAGGCGGCATAGATTCCGCTCCGCAACCGCAACCGCACGTTTGCCGGGCCGCCATGATACCAAAGCCGTGCTGGCCGTACAACGGTTTCTCCGCAGTGACGCGCAAGCCGCTGCCGACGACGCGACGCAACGTGACGGAGGTCCGGACTCAAATTATTGGCCGCCTGCGAACGTTCCGTTGCCAATCCGGAACGCTTTTTCACGTGCACTGATAACCGGAGATCACCACGGTGCGGTGGTGGTGGAGCGTTTATTCGTGAATTTTACGATCCACGCGGATCGACCACCACGTGCCCCAACTTTTCTTCGCACCTCGACCGGAGGAGTGCTCGGGGCTCATTAAGACTTTCTCGAATCCGTCCGAGAGGACTCTCGTCGGCCACGAAGAGATCCCAAAGACAATCCCACAATTTCATTTTCACCGCGGCGGTCGTTCGAGTCGACAGGACGAGACGCGTGAAAGCGAGGGAAACCGAGAGAGAAACGGAAGGCCCTTCGGAAGACTTTATGAGCATGTTCGACACGGAAAGGTTCATCGAGGAGATAGAGAGGCGGCCGGCGATCTACGACGTGAATCGCGGCGAGTACAACGACCGTAACGCCAAGATGACCGCGTGGGACGAGGTCTGCCAGGTGATGGTACCGAATTGGGCTCGTTTGACGGACGAGGAGAGAAACATGGAAGGTATATACAGCACGCCACCGACGCTGCCGCGATTGATCGATCCGGATTCCTCCGGCCGCGTTGCCGCCGCCGAGCGCGGCGGAAGTCCGGAAATTTAGGGTCGCCGCGAATCGATATTTTCCACGCGACCGGATCGGTAAACGGCGGACGGCCTCGCATCGCGCGAAAAGAATGTCTTCTTCCGCGACTTTATAGAAAGAAATTGCCGAGAAAATCTCGAGATAATCTTATTACGCGACTTTGTTTCTCATGGATGAAAATCGTGAAAGAACGCTCCTCGATTTCGTGGCACTGATCAACGTCACGTGACCGTTTAGACATCATTCCGCGGCTCTCTCTTTCGGGTATTCATAAATTTAATTGCGGATTTTGTATTCGAGACCGTCTCGAATTCGTTTTCAGATACCCCGTAGACGATAAAACGATGCCATACAGCAGATGAAGATGAACTCGAGGCGATCTTAAGTAATAAGATCTGATTATATCGGCCCAAAATTCCGGATATTCGCTCGGAAAATGTCGTTACGACGTACCATCTCGCGTATCGCGAAACGATAAATTCGGATCAATCGGACTACGATGATCTCCTTTTTAGAGAAGAATCTGCGCGGCAAGTGGCGGAACATACGGGACTATTTCATGAAGGAACTGAAACTTCAAAGGTTGCAGAAGACCGGGCCCGCCGGACGAAAGCGGAAGAAGTACATGTACTTCGACCGGTTGTTGTTCCTCATGCCGACGGTGGAGAACAAGAGGTACATCGATCGCTGTCTACGGCGACCGCGGCTGAAACTCTCGGTACGATCGCCGGCGGTAAACGGTCACCCTGTCCCGATCGTGTCTTCTTTTAGGAGTTCTGTGATGACGATCACTCCTTGTAAGTCGGAAGAGAGCGAGTGCGAGGTCGACAATCCCATGATCGAGGAGTACGACATGCCGATCGCGCACGCAGCCGGCGGCGCTTCCATAACCAGCAGGGAGTATCTCCAACCGAGCACCGCGTCCTACAAGATGTGCCCGCGTTACCCGAAGCAACTCTGCGAAACGTCCTTCGCGCCCTTGGACAACGAGATACACGACATCCTCTCGTCACACAGCAGTCAGCGCGTCGCCCTCGACGAGGACGACTACGACAAGATGTTCCTGCTGTCGTTGCTGCCGATAATCAGACAGGTGCCGGAGGAGAAGAAGCTGGACGTCAGGATACAGATGCAACAAGTCTTGGCGATGGCCCTACGTCCGCCGGACAATAAGTAAGTCAGCGAATAAGTCGAGGAGAAAAACACGATTTCATATGGTAATTCATTTGCGCACCGTTTCGCTCCGTCCCGCTTTGATACTTTGTAGGGTGAATTGTATAAGTTGTATATATATATATATATATATATATATATATGTAGGGTGAATTGTATAAGTTGTATATATATATATATATACAACTTATACAATTCACCCTATATATATATATACAATTTATACAATTCACCCTACATATATATATATATATATGTATGTATGTATGTATGTATGTATGTATGTATGTATGTATGTATTCCCTTGCTTTCTTTGACGACGAGAAACGGATCAACATTTTTGTACTATTAACTCAGGATCACTTCGAGCAAGTTTTAAACACCACGTTGTCTGTTGCATTTTAATATCGTCATGGCGAGACGATTACATCAAACAAACGTGTTTGACGTAAGTTCATCAACATAAGCTTGAACATAGAAATAGCGCGATCATAATGTTATGATTACGCAATCTTTCAAAGTTATACGAGACATACCGAGAGTAGAACGATAAACTTAAGCACTTAATTATAAGATACGACTAGAATAGTGTAGGATACGTAAGGGATAAATTTTACACTAATTGTGTAACAACTTAAGTAAATATACATCTGCGCCTGTGATATTAAGTTTTACTCGACAATCGAAGAAATAGATACATTGTATGCGTTTCGTGACGAGATGACGAAATATACGATATCATAACATCTTACATCTGTGATTTTCCTATGATGACGACGCGCCGAACAACGCGAGTACGTTGAAGAGAAAAAATTCCGTAAATAATTGCTGTCGCAGATAGTTATCGATAATCGGCCGTCGACGAACCATCAGAAGTTTCCGATTATCTCTAAATACGACGTATATTTATACGTCGGATTTCTTCCGTCGGACACGAATACTTACCAGTGTCTGGCCAGTGCTTTCGCCGGCGCATGGTAACGCGCTTCATAGTGGGGAATCAATGTTATCGACCAGAAATAAAATCGCACGACAGTCGTCGACTTTACCAAACGCGGTAAACAGACCGTGACACTTGAGCTACGTTCCGATACTTACTGACAGCGCTGAAAATCTGTAGCATGTGTAACGTGAACTTGGGATTTTCAGCACTGGCAGTGAAATTTCGGTACACAGTCTTAATCGATGTTAACAAGTTACGTAATAATTACAACTCCCGAAGCTGCATGTGAATTCGAGACACTGAAGATTGAAGACCAACATCAATATTTTGCCAGTACGGTCGATTTATTAATATTAACTTCTCATTTTATAAATTTGTGCAATTATGTTTCGACATATCCGTCCAATTCTTCGGGAATGCATCGCGCATATGAGAGCCACCGTCGCCATTCAACGTGTACTTTTGTTAAATTGCTCGTAGAAAGCGGCGGCCGGTATGTTCTTGTAAAGAACGCGGTTCAAATAATCCTGATGTGACTTTTGTCGCTCGGCCATCCGCAAGTTCTCCTCTGCGATCTTCTTATTCAGTTCCCTGAGGAGAGTACAATTTCGCATTTAAACGCGAGGAAATCAATCCGACGAGAATCGCGAAATTCTTACGATTTTTTCTGCTCCAATTCTCGCGCATATGAGTAAGCAGTTTGAAGATGCGAAGTCATCATACGATCCCAGTCTTCGTTCATGCGTTTTTCGTCCTGCTTGATTCTCTGAAACCGGAGAGTTCAGAAAAAGCTGAGGAATTTGAAGGTGAAGTATTTATCGAAGAAAAACGCCGATAGCTTGACGATGAGTCTGTAAGCATCAGCGAATATATTTCAGAGAGAAAGATATATAAAACCCGAAGCACCACTCGGGTACGAAACATTCATTCTGAATACGCTAATAATACGTGTGTCGTCATGGATCCGCTGTTCGCGCAATGACATCATACATGACGTGCCCAGAGCTCGTATAAGGGTGTCGCCAGCTGCTTTCAACGTATCGGATTTGCAAAATCTCGACCTGGCGAATTCTCGCGACACGACACCGCATTCGTTCGTGTTTTTTCAACAATACAGGTTGACGCTTTGCAGCCTCTCACACGGAGGAAAAGTTAAAAGATGAAACGCACGACTATCAGTCAAATAAGCACAATCCAGTTCCTTTCGACTAACCTGAAGCTCCTTTATCTGCTCCAGCTGAGCATTCCTGAAGACCTTCAACTCGTCTTCAGTCATGCCCTTGTACCGTGATACCAACGGTCTGTGTGGACCGCGAGTGCTCTCGGCCTGTTCCTTGGCCTCCGTGAGGAAGTCCCCAGTCACGTGATTATAGATTTCCGCTTTGTTGTCCTCCTCCTCTTGAACGGCTTCGCATTGACGGCGGTGCTGTTGCTCCGTGGCCTGCAATCGTACGGAGGATAAATTTGCGCTTCCGCGAACCCGCGATGACGCGGAGAAAAACCGGCCAGGGACACGAGTAAACGAGGAAAAGGAGAAGTAACGAGGCTAATATCGGCCAGAGAGCATGGCGACGGAAGGAAGGAAAAATCGTCGGCACTTTGTCGCGGTTATCGGGACAAATTATCGCGGCACTTTGTTCGATGATGTCACGAGGTTTATTCATCGGCCGCGACGTTCGTGTAGGCTCTCCTTATACCCTGCGGCTGACTGAAAGAGTGCGAGAAAAAGAGAGAGAGAGAGAGATGCACGCAACTACGCAAAAAAAGTCGCCGAGTTCCTCGCTATACTTGCGGTCGGCTACAATTAAGCGCTTTGCAATCGTCTTTTCTCTCTCGACCGCCGACGTAAAGGTCAGTTGCGTCAGAAAGACGTTTACGACCTCTGAAAGAGGCAACGTCCCGAATACGGCCAGCAACGTGAATTAATATCGACTTTCGTCCCGATCGTAATCTCTCGTTCTGTCATTTTTCAACTCCACGTATGTGAATTGTCGAATTTCTCCGTTCCTACGTCGGAAAATTACAACTTCGTCCGCCTTCTTCTTCTTCTTCTCTTTGTTCCTTTCGTGTATCGATAAGATACGCAAAACTAACTTTAACAAGTGGATAACTTTAATACCAAAGCGCAATTAAATCTCGCCGTGGCTTCGTTCAGCCTTCGCCGGCACTCTTCCTCCATTCGCGCGAGCGTCGCCGCGCGCTCGTCCCTGGAAAGGATGACTTCCTGATAGGCTTCCTCGATCTCCCGTCGCACCTTTTCAGCCGCCTCGCGTTCCTCCTTCTGCCTCCGGATCCACCAACGCATCTGCTGTTTCTGCGCCTCCTGCCGCTCGTGCAGATTGGGATCCTCGCCCTCGAACCTACGCAGCCGCTAATATTTCACCTCGTTCCACCTCGCCGCAATGTTACGCTCATTATCATTGCGCCAGGGTGAGCAGGTTGCGGGTTAAATTATTATTCTCGCCGGGAATTTTTGCGACGTTAGGCGCGTTAGCACCGGGAAGAGGAGAGAAGCTCGCGCGCCGAGCCGTGGTAATCGCGCGGATTAGAGACCGCAGAAGCGATTCTCGTTCTCACGCACGCGATGAGCCTTCAAATATCAAGAGAGTTTCAATAAAAACTCGTCGGCGACGAGTGGTTTGCGAATACGAGGAAAGAAGAATGCGACGCGTTTGGCGAGCGCGCGCGCGGGCTCGAGTTTCTATCTCCTCGGCGGAGATAAACCTCTCCTCTCTCGCGCCTTTCCGCCGATCGGCCACTGTTGACAGTGCTAATCAGACTATTTACGTACTTCTGAGCAGACGCTAGTCCCAAGTTCGGGTCATCGTCATCCACTCGCAGCGGGAGCGATTTCCTCAACGCTTCGGGGTCATACAAGTCGTAATCTCGCCGGTCCTCGGCCCGCTGGTGTTCCCGTCGAAACGACTCGATCTCTTTGTGTATTTGACGTCTCTCCTGTGGAAAAGCGAATACCTCCTTATCCCCGCCTCGTTCGGCAACTTTGATCGCGAGTCCAAAAATCGCAAGTACCAGCTGTAGCGTGCGGACATTCCCGCGTAATTATCGGCATTGACGGCATTCGATTACCTCCTCTTGTTGCCTCTCCAGATGCGCGGCAAGCTGGCTGCTGCGAACTAGCGCCTCGTTCAATTGGCATTCTTTCGCCTGTTCCTGCTCGCGCAGCCGCTTCTTTTCCTCGACTTGCCTATCCAAGAATGCCTTGTCTATCTGTCAGGGAAACAATCGCGCGAATCGTTATGCATCGAACCGGCCAACTTCCCGGGTGTCGGATCAGTAAAACGACGGAGCCGACGGAATTTCAACCTTCACGACGAAGTATATGTAAAACAAAGCCAACTCGGCCGGAAATAAATTGTAATCAACGCAACGGTTGTCTCTCAAGTAATTGGACGGACTCGCACTTGAATAAACTTACGTTACAAATTGAATTTCAGTAACGAGACTTGGCTCGAAAAATCGAGATGAATCTAATGAAAAATAGGAAATGTATGTGTAAATAGATAATGTAACGAGCAATGTGACGGAGGATCGCGGATTGCAGTCGGAATTTCGATTCTCACTCCGATCTTCCTGACGCGAGGGTCGAAGATGCGCAGTTTCCTCGCTTCCTCGAGCCGTCGTTTGTGTTCTATAGAAGCGGCGATCTTGAGATCCTCCGGCGTGGTGTGTTGAAATTTGAGCATCGCGGGTATTTTTCGCGAGAAATCCGGAAGGCGCGCGCCACTTTCTTGATACCGCGGCAAGGTTATGTACACGAGAACAGCGAGAACATATCCAGACTTTCGGGGCTGGCAAGTATCGAGCTTTTGAGGTCTTGCAGTCCACACACTCGTTACCATGGTGAGTTTGCCCCGCCGCGGACATGAGATCGCGTGTAAGCGGTAGATTCGTTCGTGCGGCACGTTCGTGATTCAACCGCACGAATTTATCAACTCGCGATTCTACTTGGCTTCTCGCGCGTTTACACAGCGCCGATCAATTGCACTATCGCGCTATATCGCGCTCGTCACACGATGCTCTTACGTGCCCGATGACTTATTGACGTTGACAGGGTTACCCTGTAATTAGAAAAATTACCGGTCTCTGTCTAATAAAAGAGGGCTATTTCAGACGTTCGACACGAGAGCTTTCCAATAAGATAACGCCGGCAAGAGACGTTAATCGTTTAATCGATAACACCTGCTGCAATAATAGTTCGAGATTAATTTGGAGACGGTAGCAGGCTCACGATGATACGACGCGTTGCGACAATTTTCATCCCTATATCACGTAGTTTAAAGAGTTATTTGAAAAAAAAAGCGTGATGCCAAACCTCATTCAGCCTAATTAGTATAAAAGTTGGCTTTCGAAGTATTAAACGTGTGTTCGCAGTTTGCTTCTCTTTTTAATTTTTTGCGTCATTAATACATTGATTAACCCAAACGTGTCATAAAATTCTTGTGTCAGACTGATGCGTTAATAACGACTTGAAAGAGTCGTTAAAAAGTAACAGGCAATATATTCGCGATATTTGTGTTACGTGGGACCTCTTGTGTACTGAAAGCGCATGTTCGTAAGACACGCTTTACCCCGAGTTGAAATTCCGACGCTACTTTGACGCTCTTAAGGATAGTTTGCGCCTACTTGGGCGGTCTGTGGGCTGATAAAACTTACTTTAATGACCTTGACACTTTTTAACTTCTTTCTTAAACCTTTAATCCTACAGATTTCATTTTAACGCTGCCTTAAACAACCTATTTCGACGTTAAAACTGTGGATACGGGAATTTAAGACGTTATCAGAAACAAAATAGGAATAAATATTATTGGAAGAATTATCTTAGCCTCCTGCGATATAGAATTAAAGATTTAACATAGGTCCAGAATTTAAATTCGGGAGACTGCCGAAAAAGGCACTTTAATAATAGTAGGTTACGAGTTAAAGTTTAATTCCATTAATCCTGCAAATTCCGTTGAATTTAAAGGACCAATGGAGAATCTCGAGTTACAACATTATATAAGCTATTTTAATGAGTTATTTACTATTTGCTTATCGCACATATTTGATCTCTAGTTAAATAAGTTAAATAAGTTACATAATATATTGCTTATTGAAATTAAGAATAAGATTTAAATGCAGGTAGCATATTCGAATATTAAATCATGTTTAAAATGCTTCTTCAAGCTTCGACATAAAGAAAACGGCAGTAAGTAACCATTCGTGGGATTAAAGTAGGCCAATAGCCTGTATAATGTTACATTTTGAAATTGCCTATTGATCCTTCACATCCTTCGAATTTAACGGAACCCGCAGGATCAGTGTGGAAACTAGAATTTTGTCTCGGAGTGTTTGTAATCGCAGCTCCTAATTCGATCTATTAATTCTACCGCTGCGGGCGAAGACGCTTTTTCTCGGACGGCTCTCTCGGGCCGCCTTTTATTCTCGGTAATTACGTCTTTACGATCAATACACGGTGATTTCGGTGTCGTCGTTGGTGTGAGCCTCCCCGATGTTTGACTTCGATCACGTGGTAATCTATTCGTCGGAAAAACGCGCGCGTCGCTCGATAATTATTCAGCTGTTAAAGAGACATTCGTATCAGCAGAGCGTATCACGTGGAGAGCAGCTGTCGATGATGATATAAACATGTATACTGCACCATTATCTGTTGATTTCGTGAAAGTATCTTGCATACGCACGCCGCACGGTACAATTTGTCATCGTATTATTGCGGCAATGCTGTGCGGTAACGAAAACGACGTAGAGTAAGTGTCGATTAAATATTTTAAATGGGTTAATCGCATCGCTTCTTCCGATAAAACGCGGATTCGCAGAAGAGTCCCGAGCCTGGATCGTAACCCGCAAGGTCGACATTAAGAGATACGACTGGTCGTGATCGTTATTAGCTCAGCGGTAACGAAAACAACGTGTGATATCATCTTTATTTTGATTAGTTAACCACTTGGCGAAAAATGAATGAAGATCGATTCAAAGGCGATTGAATTATGACGAGGTACGTAAGGGGAACGTTTAAATCGCGAATAAACACAAAACAATAAGATAGATAAGATAAACAATAAGAGCCAAATTGCTATTGAATCTCAATGGCTAAAATTGTAGAAATCAGGTACCCTGGTATTTGAACGTTTTGACCATTAGTTTAGTTGGAAACGTTCAAATACTACTCTTGCGTCTGATTTCTAATTTTCATCAAATATTTTGCTATTGAGATTCTTCAATTTGGCTCTTATCGTCTATTTTATTGTTTCTATGTTTGTTCTTTACTTCATCCGAGAGCCTGACACTTATTATTTTATTTCACTTTAAACTGCATTTCTCTCCCCTTAAATATATCTCTCCTTCCCTCCTTCCTTCTCTTTTTCTCTCTCTTTCTCTCGAACACGACGTGAATCTCATAAAAAAAGAAATATAAAAAATATCGATTATCCATCCTCGCCGCATCGTCATGTCGCATCGTGAAAACGGCGTTGCAATTTTCATCGCGTGAAAAACACGATCGATCGTCAAAATTCGATCCGGTTAGACATTGGTTTACGCGAGTTCCAAAGTATCGCCATGTTCGGCGGCTAGAGAGTGCATCGCCGCGCGAGTTCACCGAGTTATCGGTGCGCGACCACCTCCTTCACCTCCGCCGTCCCGAGCGCGTGCTCCAAAAACTATCGTTGACAAACAGAGCCCTGATAAGGCACAGCCTCGCGAGTTCCGCGCAATTTGCGCCGCAAGTCCACCTCTCCCGCGATATCGCGCAACGCACGTTCGTCCCAGAGAAGATGCGCCTGCAGCATAGCGAGACTCTCAGGCGCCTGCGTGGCTGGGTGACGTCATTGGTGAACCGGGCAGCTCGTCGTCCACCAGACATTCAGTCTCGCCTCGGCACTCGAGGAGATTGTATTGCGTGTTTCTGCACACACCGCTCTACTGTCATCAGCACGGAAGCTGACGCCATTCACACGATCCACGCGAATCGATCCGAGAGAAGTGTTCCAGTGGACGACCCGCGGAGGCACCCGGGAAGATCACACCTGCGTCCACCCTTAACTCGGACAATCCATCGGACGGGAAAACAGTGCACCTCGTGCGGAGCAACCGAGGGAAATCATCGCCCCTCGTCCCACCTGGGTCGGGAAAATTGCCGCGAAATCGCCAAGAGTCAAACACGTGCGATCACTCCGTTTCGCAGGGATGCGAACGCATCCGGAATAAACGGCCGCGAGCCTCGAGGGGGTTCCACCCGGAAGTCCCATGTGACCCGCTGCACCGTGGTGCGTGGCGCCTTACTATTGACTTTACTATGAACTCTGTTGCGACTGATACTATGAGAGGATGAGCTGCTCGGTGAAAATCTCTTGCGGCAAGAGCTGGAGCGGCTCGCAGCGCAGGATCAACTCCCTGGCGGAGGAGACGACGAATGCCAGTTGCTGCGCCGGCCTGCAGGCCACCCAGCCGACGACGAGCGCGGCATCGACGACCACCACTACGACCAACACCACGACCACCACGACCACCATCACCGTAGCCTTCAACAGCCCCGTAACCGCCGCCAACGCTACCAGTATCAACGGCTTTCTCGCGGCTGCCGGTAATCAGAGGGTCGTGCCACCACGCCCCGTCAAGTCGATCGCCGCGAAGAAAGGGGAGGACACGACCAAGTTGCTGAAGTACATCGACGATAACGTCATCGGCAAGAACGGCACGTTCTTCGGGCCATTCGGCCGCAGGAAAGGTCAGTGATCAATATAGTAGTCGGACCTTGCCGCCCCTCCGCGGCTGTCATTCGTGGCTGAACGGCTTTGAGCGTACGCTCATCGTTTCGTGTCATATCGCTGTCTCGTTGCCTTTCTACCGATTAGTCGTGCGGTTGAGAGGGGGAGGGGGGTAGAGACGATTAATGCTCCAGAGATCACTCGATGAAACTGTACGCGACTGCTCAAGGTCGGCTGAGATAATCTCTCGAATGTTTTCCACGCTTCGGAACATGATACGGTATCGTGTGCGGAGAGTTTATCGCGGAAAACAGTGTCAGCGGCTGAATCTATCTTGGCTTTCAGCTGCAGGTGTTTTCCGAAGACGTTCAATTCGCAACATTCGTTCCCACGTGAAATTAAGATACGTTGACTCAAGGCGGAGATGATGATTTGCCGATTAGGTGAGAATTTAGTTAGATTAGGTGAGAATTTTTCCAGCGATTGACAGGTCTCGTTGAGGTTCTCTGCTCCGCAGTAACGTGATACCATCGCAACGTCGGCGAAGTTTATTTAGAAAATTGACGTATCACTCATCATCGCCGTTTGATCTTTATACGCATGTCACGTGACAACGCGTCGCGTTAGAATTTCATAGCACGTCGCTCGCGATGTATTTCTCCCCCGATGATTCGGCGCGCGAATTTCTACTCGGAAGAGGAGTCCTCTACGTGGGATTCGTCCGAGTCGAGTTATCGCGGCGTGAACTTTAACTCGCGCTCGATTGGGATGCCCTCCAAGTGCCGTTGGCGTATACCTTCCGTAATTCGATACTACCTCGCAGTAGTAGTAGTGACAGCAGAGCGGGCCGAAACCCCTGCCGTGTTCCAAAGTATCCTCAATTAAGAACACAAAGCCGTACACTTTTAGGCTTTGATCGATCGCAACCGGCAAGATTGATTTCGTCGATCGCTGCGAATCCGAATTTCGTCGTTAATCGTCACTCGGCCGTCGTCGAATGGACGCGCGGGTTCGATAACGTCGGCTCTATCGATCCCGGCTGCGATCGATCACGTCTCATCGAACTTCCTTCACAGTCGTCAACAAGGTCATTATGCGCCTCTCTCGCCTTTTTTCCGCGCGCGCATGTACGAACGATTCGCTGAGAACGTATAGACAGCCATATTCCCCGCAAAACTGAATTAATAATGCGCCTCTACCGGGAAGAAACGTTTCCCAGCTCTATTTCTGTAAGCTACGCGCATGCGGACGGACGGACCGACTGACGCGTCCTGCTGTAATTCACCCGAAACGTGATATCGTTCTTCCCTCCCTCCCTCCCACCACGGAATTCGCCCGGCCGTTGCGTCAGTCGGCTCTTCTTTATCAAACGCGGAAATGCGCTCGCACACGAGGTTTCGTGGGTGGCGGTGACCACCGGGGTGTCATTGTCCGAGGATCACCTCGAAGGCCACGTGCTACCTTCTCGCGAACTCTCTTGGTCGCCGCGATCAATAAAGCGCGCGCTCGTGAAAAGTGCCCGCGGAGACCTTGAACGCTCGCGGGCGGAAGGGGTCGGCGACGCGTGTCGGAAGAGCCGGGATGAGTCGCCGTGGAAAGCGTGGCGCGGGGTTATTTGGAATACACATCCGATTCGTGGCTTATTTGCGCGCGAACTCCGTTTCTTCGGGCGTGCTCATAAATATATCGAGCTGACGTCATGCTCGTCGCGATGGCGACCTTAACTCTCGTTCGCGCTCGGGCTAGGATAGCTCTCTAACGGGACAGTCGCGACGGTCGCGCCGAGTGTCGCGTTAGATTTCTTATCTTACGCTGCGGCCGGACGATTGCTTTACCGCTTAATGAAGTGAAAGTCCGTCTTGATCCTGGTCATACATTGACTTCCGCGGGGAATTCGCCCGCACGGGAAAAATGATTTCGCTGGCGCGGCTAATCATGGCTGAAGATCTTTCGCCGCTGGAGATTTGCTGCTGTAAGCAGAACTTTGGTCACTGTTGCTGCAAGTGCCGTGACTGATATATGTCTACTATAGCTAAACTTGTAGATGTCTGTATGTTACAACGGAGATTCAGCTATTGATAATTGTTTCGTACATAAGCAAGGATATATAATCGTTTTACAAATTAAAAATTTAATAATCTTGAATTTCAACAATATTATTATTTTAGATGCAATATCACGATAATCTTCTAAAGAATGCAATACAGTTATTTTGAAAATAATAAATCTTGTTAAAATATTTAAAAAAATTATTTCAGAAAGGTGAATGTGTTATTTTGAATAATTCTATATTTGAATCAAATGTACGTTAATCTTTTTCCAACAATATGAACGCTCTCATTTCATTATATATATATATATATATATATATANTATATATATATATATATATATATATATATATATATATATAAATTAGGTCTTAAACCGTCTTAAGGTTAGGTTCATTCTTAGATGCTTTGTAGTCCATAAAGCGACTCTTACAGTATCTAAAGATAAACTTAAAATAATCTTAAATATAAAAGCTGGCCATTATAAAAGTCGGAGAGAAAATTTGAAAACCGGAGTTGCTAGACCAGGATTCAAATACGGAACGACCTCTTGCTTGCCGGATGTTTGTTCTTACCACTGAACTACCTACGCTGAGGCTCCTATGTTAATATACTCTCTTTCGTCCTCTTATTGTGATGTTATTGCCTCAGCCTCGAAATAGGACAAAAAATTATTATTATAAAAACTTTCAATATAAGCCAATTTTTAATAATATAAACTGCTTTCTCCAAGAATAAAATATATTCAAATAAAAATAATGCAATTTAAACTTAAAGAAATTTCAAATTAAAAATATTAACTCTTGTTTTGAAAGTTTCGTTCTTTTCTGTTTAACACTCCTTGATCTCAATTCAAGAAAATTATTCTTAAATAACGAGAATATTATCTTTTTAACAGAACTATAAGCAATTTCTTCATATAAGCAAGTTTCATCTGCTTAACCCTATATAACCTCACTTCAATACGTACAAGTTGAGAATTACGGATTTCTGCAAAATAAGAGTGTTTTTATCTGTATACAAGTTTGGCTACAGTAGATATGTGTTAGCTGTGGCACCTGTATACTTAGCAACAGTGACCGAAGTTTCGGTCGCGGCAGCGAATTTTTAGCAACAGCGGCCAGACATTTCCAGCTAAACCGTGATTAGTTGCAAAATTTTTCCCCGCGACCTTTCTTCGCGCGATTCGCCGATTTTCACCAGCGAATATCGACGAATGTCTCGTTTTGATCGCGGCCGAATATACCGCGATCGCGTTCGGCTCGGCATAGTTCCACGCGCGGGAGAACGCGGCCGTGAAACCTCGGCTGTCCGGTATACTTGCGGTGGCGACCGGCTCGTACGTACCGGCGCGCGTTATACACGGAACGACGCTCCGTGACCTCCTACGCGCGCGGTTCGTGACCTCCGCCTAGGCACGTGCTGGTCGAATAAATTGCTAAAACCGTCGCGCGTTTACGCCGCTCCATTTAGCGAATGGACGCGTCACTCGCCCGTCCGTTTTAAAGCTATTATACTCATTAATTCGATTTGTTTCCCGATGGCGCGCTGCTTTTTGTTGTTCGGACGTGAAAGCTTCTTAATGACCTACTCGTATAACGGCTGGACGTTTGCACGGTCGGTGCCGCGGTAAATGCGAAAAGGGAGAGCGCGTGCAACGATGTCGCGAGGGATACCGGACGGCGGGAAATTCCACAAATCGCGTATCGATACCTTCGGAAACGCTGAATTCAGCGGACTTCTTCTTTCCTTTTTGCTCTTCTATCGCGACTTCTATCCGAGCGCAATATCGAAGCTATTGATTCGTAACACTTGCGCCGCCACGCTCCGCCACGTTCATTTTTCCGCGGATATCTTGCGGACACACTCGGTATATGCGACTGCATAACGTTACGCGATTGAGAACTGCGACCGCCGACGCGAAAGGAGAAACGCGGGACGCCTGTAAAAGTGCGATTATACCGTGAGGTTGCGATAACGCGACAATATCGTCGTCATTGTCATCGTCGTGCCGGGAGCATGGCAGATAAAGCTCTGATAAATATTGTTTTCTTACCGCGATGAATGTTAGGAAGGCGGCCTTCACCGAAAAACAGGTTCGCCGCTTCACGCGGCGTCGGCGGGCGACCCGGGGTGGTGGTGGGAAGTGACGGAAATCTGCATGAAATTCACGGGTCTCGTCCCCCTCCCTTCTCCGGCCTCCTCCTTCCTTGCGAAACGCCGGGCTAGAATTCGCTCTCTTCCGAAGCCGCGATTAATCTTCAACCGTCACGGTTAGCGCTCCGCTGACGTAATTGTTACGTTAATCGCGATTCATTTGTGCGTTACGCGCGCGGACGATGTTACGTTCCCATTCTTCAAATCTGAACAAACAACACGGGACGTTCGCTCAGTCGGTCAGAAGTCGATGTCGTTTTTATTAATTTGCGCGTCGAGGAGAGCAATATCGTCTCTCGATAACAAGACTCGTTCACGGCCTGCTCGAATATTTCGCCCAGCGGTGGGCGAGTTTTTTCGTACGGCGAAACGGGCCCAGATGTTCGTGATGGAAGACCCGTTGTCTTCTGATAGGTCGATCTTGGTCTGACATGTCTCGAGGTCGAAGCTGGGAGAAGCTATCCTGTTAGGCCACTATTTCGCACAGGCCCACAGCCAGTCACGTGACGCGCCGGAGAAATAAGGATGATCACATCATCGACGAGGAATGAATTGTCTATCTCGTTCCTGCCGGCATTCTTGCCGGCCGAGCCAAGTCGAATCGATACTCGAGATTAATTAAGAAACCGGAGCGTCCCGGTACGTTTATTTAATTAGTCGAGCGTGTTTGTCGAGCTCGCTTGGTTCCGTCAGAGCAGTCAGAAGCAACGGCTGATTACGGGAAGATCATTAATAGATTGCACGCTTGATGAGAATCCCTCTGTAAAATTCTCTACCCAGTGAAAATTGATCGTTACGTTAGGCAACGCCGA